CGATTTGAATTATGTCTCTTCTTCTGCATTTTTTTATTTTCCATGGATAGCTAAATCTTTGTATTGATTTTCTGAGAAGAATGTAGTAGATCTTTGAGGTTTTGTTCTTTTATTCCGTTTGTTTTCTTAACTTTTTATCTTCTGATCTCAGTATTGAATTATAATCTGTTTATGCTTAATAAACCGAAAACCAATATTTGCTTAAATGAGATTATGTGATGTATGCAATGTTTAATTGTATAAGAATAATCTGAGTTAATCTTCGCTTAGTTGATTAATTTCGGGTTGGAATAATGGTTAAAACAATTTAATTTCGTAACCTAGGATAGGTGACACTACATTCGAATTAGGAAATCAATTGTTTTCTCATTGTTTTATTTAAATTCTATTTTAGTTAATTTACTATTTATTATTACACAACCCCCTTTTCTTTTCAAATTTAATTACTTGCATTATTTTATTTTAAAGCAATTCTTGATTTTTGCAATTTTAATTAAAATCACTTTATTTTAATTTTATAAATTTTAGTTATTTAAATTACTGCATCAATTTATTTCTCTTTCACTCTTGCATTCATACCTTATTTAATGTTTTAGAGAGAATGATATATGGTAATAAATACGTTTTTATAATTGTGTCTTTGTGAGATTTGACACGGGTTAACTATACTTGCATTAGTTTAACAACTTGTTTATTAATTTTTATCAATATTTTGTACGATCGAACTGTTGTTATCAATAATCATTCAACGTTAGGAACAAATAATAAAAGAAGATAAATTTGTTAATTTTCGTAATACTTATTTTTAAGTTGTGTTTATCATAATTTTCTTATATATTTATATCATAAAATTTACAAGTTATATAAAATAAAAATTAAAGTCTTTAACTTAAAAAAAAAGAATTAAATTCATGTTCAATGATAAATATCAATATTTATTTTTTTAGGAATAATAAATTGGATTATTTTCATTTTCACATGTCTAATCGTGTAACTTGTCAATCCAATGAATGAAGATAAGACAAACTAACATTTAAAAAAAATTTATATATTTAAAATAAAAATAATTATAATTAAAAATATTAATTTTTTTATATTAAGTAACTAAATATATTATAATATTATAATTTTAATTATAAACACTAATAGAAATTATTATTTATAATTAGGTATTTTAATGCATAAATATAATATTTTTTAATTTATCTAATAAAAGTATTAATTAATAAATATAAATTTTAAAGATATATTTTTTTTAAAATTAATGTAAATTTTTTTATATAAAAACATACCAATGTACTAACTAATTGGTAAGTTATCTCGCACTTTAACACAAACCACTCAGTCGTTTTATCATGGAGAACATATTTTATTATTGATTTCATTGATAATGCATCATATTAAAAAAAGACTTGCCTAAAATTTTCACTTCATACAAGAAACTATACTTAAAAAAAGAAACATGCTTTGAATTTCTAAGTTTTTACTTCGTAAATGTGGAACCAGATATTCCTTAGATTCATGTATATATTTATTTATTTATTTCATTTTTCAACCTCCTTCCCCATTCACATATTTCATTTCATATGACATGGTGTGGTTGTTTTAACTGAATTAATGTCTCGAAATTAACTTCTGAATATGTAATAGAATGAAATTTTGTAGATGATTTTGATATTATTGTAGTGTTCATTCAGGACTGATGAAAAAGCTAATGCTCACTTTACAAATATCAAAATTGCATAGCTTTTTGGGAGCACTTTGTCCCAGGATCAAGCTAATGATATCCATGGTTAAGGCTCTGCATCAATCTTTGGGGATAAGTTTGACCCCACCAAGGACCTAAACTTAAGATATTTCATAACTTTAAGAAGATAAATAAACTCATTTAAAAAGAAAAAAAATCTCAGAAACTAACAAAAAAAGAAATAAAGAGCTAACCAAGCATGCATCTATTGAGTTTATGAAAATACTTTTCCCAGTTTTTAGTGCTTGTGTGGAAATTGATAAGTGGTTTTTCAAATAAAAAATGAGCAATTTCTCCTTTTTTGGAGATACCAATTTCAATATAGGCCAGTTTTGTAGGTACCAAAACGTTATTTAATCCAATGTTTAACTATATACTATACTGATATTGTCATGATGATAATCACAAACAGAAAACATCATCAAACAGTTGAGTGAAGATGACTACAAAGGTATTGCAAAGGTAGTTAAATTATGATGAACAAAAAACCATGAGAAAAACTGATAACATAACAAGATATAGAAAAACCAAATGCTTTTATTCAAGATGAACAACTGTAGATTACATTGATACTACCCTCAGAACAATTAAGAACAGAGAGCATCATCATGCAGCAAAGGTTACATAAAGAGAGCTAGATTTTGAACAAAAAAACACAAAAGTAAAACTGATAACTTATCAGTGAACACAAAAACTAAATGCTTTTCTATTCATGAGAAACAACAAGCACTTGTTTTCCAACATTGCGGCCACTAAAAAGGCCAACCAAAGCTGAAGGACCATTCTCAAGACCCTCAGCTATGTCTTCCACATACACAACCTTCCCTTCTCTGATGTTAGGCAGGAGAAACTCCAAGAATTTGGGGTATAGGTGAACCCAATCGATGAAGTTAAAGCCTTGCAAACGCACCCTCTTATATATGATTTGTGCCAAATTTGTTACACCTTCATGTTCAGTAAGATTATACTGTGATATCATTCCACAGACAGGTATGCGACCGTGGAGTCTCATGTTCAGGAGTACAGCATCGAGTGTCTTGCCTCCAACATTCTCAAAGTAGACATCAATGCCTTCTGGAAAGTGCCTGATTTGTAGATTGGCATACACTAGTCACTATAGGCACAGCAATTGAAACTTTTGATGGGCATAGAAAAGTGAGATCTAAATTTCTTTAGAATCTGTAAAGTATAGACCTTTTCAAAGCTGCATCAAGGTCAGGCTCTTCCTTGTAATTAAAACCTCCATCAAATCCAAATTTATTCGTAAGTAGATCCACCTGATAATGAAAGAAATTAATGTTCAAGTAAAAGGACTAAGTATTTTTCTCTAATAAAGCAGAATCAATATGATCACCATGATCCTTTACCATATTCTGTTTCTATCAGAAATTTAGGAGAAAAACAAGTACTAATCTCATTCAGTGACACAAGTCGTTTTTGTAAAATCTTTCTTCCATTTTTTTATGAGGGAAGTGACTTGGATTCCACAGTTTAACTGAACTTACGCATAGAACCATAAGGTAGTATTTCTTGTGCCGAAAGCAAAAGTAGTGTTCCAAACAACAGAACAAATAAGAAATAGGTGATGGTGATATATGCAGGATGGCAAGTATATTTAGCTTCAACAATTACAACAATACCTTCTCTTTAGATCCAGCACTTCCAACTACATAACAACCATTGAGTTTAGCAAATTGTCCAACAAGTTGACCAACTGCACCAGATGCAGCTGAGACAAAAACTTTGTCTCCTTTTTGGAGAGAGCCTACTTCAAATAGACCTGCGTATGCAGTCACTCCTGGCATACCTGGGTAAGAAGAAGAAAACGCATTATTAAATCAAGCCACGCCACTGAAAAAAGGGTATCTATTAATGACAAAACTTCCATATATTGCAACATGCAGTTGACAATGTAATAGGTGAATCCAGTGTAAAGTGAAATTACTGAACACATACCAAGAATTCCAGTGTAGTAGGTGAGTGGAACATCAGTGTGCTCAATTTTGAAAAGTATTTGAGCTGAGGGTAACAAGCTATACTCTTCCCACTTGGTAAAGCTCCACACTAAATCACCTTCCTTATAATCTGGGTGTCCAGACTCCAAGACTTTAGACACACCATATCCTGTTAATGGCTGCAATCACTCAACAATTATCACTAGAAGCAAAGATATATCCCTCAATTTCACTTTCCATTTGAACGTTCTTGGATTAACTTCACTCTGAATTCAAAAAGTAAAATGAAAAACTAAAACAATAAGAGCAAATTAGTAGATAAAGAGGTTTTACAGTATCATTCAATTCACAATTGCCTTATACAATAAACTTGTTGGCTTTCACAACAGTTAGCTTAAAAGTCATAATTATCACAAATTCTGATTGGTTGATGGTGTGAATAGCAACTAAACTCAAAGAATCATCACACAAAGTTAATAATTTTAAGCACAAATTGCAAAACCCACTTCCTGAAATGCATCAATTCTTTCTAATTCTCAAAGAAAGTATTAACTACTCGTACTAATTTAAACCTTTCAATTACACAAATCAGTCTCCGGTATCATCAACGTGCCAACAACTGCATCTTTCAAATCACACAAACACAAGTCAATATTTTTGCAACATTTATTTCTTAAAGTCAAAAAGTAAAAGCAATATTTTTTAAAGAATCAAATTACATAATTTGCAGCAGCAACAAAAAAAAAAACTTACGGATCCAGGAGTGTACGCACGACTATTGGGGGGTCCTTCAGGTTTGTTCATGAGATTCCTCATGTAAGGGTCACAGGACAAGTAAAGATTTTTGAGCAGGACATCATTGGAACCTTGTGGAAGCTTCAATGTTATGGTACTTTCAACAATGTTCATGTCGGATTCTTTTGGAAAACCGGTGACATGGTCCCGCAGAAGCACTTGCTTGTTCCTCACCTGTGCCATCTTTGTTACTCAACTGGGTTTTTGAGTCTCAATTCAGTTCATTTTATAAATAAAAACTTCAGGGAAATCTTGAATGGGAGATAATGATTCCAAACCGAAAGTTACCTCAGCAATGATGATGTTGCTGACAAAGGAGTTTTCTTTTCCAATATTGCCCTTGCTCACTGTTTTTTTAAGCGCTTAAACGCAGAAAACGTGATGGTGAACTTGTTTTCACCAGGAAAACTTTAGGTGATTAGACTAACGTGTTCTCTTGACACATTTCTCCTCCTTCTCCCATCCTTATTTTTCTAACACAAAACTTTCTCATTCTTTCTTCGATGTCGACCTCGACATTTCTCACGCTGATTGTGAACTTATTCAACTTGTCGGTCGAACTCACTCACCACCGCATTGTACAATTTTTCGGCAACATCGTCAACGTGGTTCCGTTGTCAACAACCACGCCGTCATCCCCTATGCGGTTCACGCTCAGCGAGCATATTCGGCGCGAGGATAGTCCTCTCCCCATGGATATCCCGGCGAGTCCAATGCGGTAGAAATAAGGATGCTTCGGGTTCCAAAGCATGGATTCCCGTGGAAGTATAATTTCTTGTTTCTTAGGGTTGGATCCATAAATAAATTTAAATAATTACTTTATTCCTAAGTTGACGCTGCTATATCTTTTTCCTTTGCTACTCTTTCACAGTTCAATTGTCTTGAATGTTATATTGCAATGGAAAAAAGCTAAAGCAAGCAACACTTTCAAGTGCATTCTGGTACTCATATTTGTGTGTGAAGTAGATTAAACTGTTAATTTGGCGTGAATATTTTTCAATTGGTGTGTTTGGATGTAGCAGAAAATCATGTAATATTTTTTTGCACAAAAATCTGATAAGGTGTACTTTCTGATGTCGCCAAGAACCCAACTTTGGAAGATGTTGACAATGTAATCAGCTTTCAATTGGGTATAGTGCCATGGACATTTCTATATTGAAATTGACAATGTTCATTATGAATTAGTAAATTTTTGTATTGGATATTGGGGTTAATATATGGCTTTTTTTTACTACATGTTATTGACCCTTAGTAATGAAAATGAGTATATGCTTTGACATAACTTTTATGATATTCATTGTTAGATGATACTCAGATTGTTGTCATGAAATACTTGTATGAATGTGCTCGACCTGTAGTAAACGTCATGACAGTAAATAAATTTTATACTATGAACTCAAATTAAATAGGGTTACATGTATTTGCAGTTTGAAATGGAAAGCATAGACGATGGATCTTCAAATGTTAAGAAGGTGAATGTTGTATCTATTTATATAATATAGGATATTGTTGATGATAATTATAATTATTTAATGTGATTTTCAGGTATATTTGCGACATGTTTGCAGGACTAATTATTTGGGTGAAGTGAATAACATTCTTACTACAGAGCAAAGAAGTCGTATTGAGGCAACACCATTTAAATGGTTGATGTCATTGGGTAGAAAGGTCAAAATTAGTAGAACATTGCTTAGTGAATTAATAAGTAGATGGGTTGAAAAGAGAGGAAGATTTAATATAAGGTCTGAGATAGTATGCTTTACACTGTTAGATGTGTGTTTAGGTTTAGGACTTTGTGTAGTAGGCGAAAATGTCAACATTGTAGAAGGAAACATTGATTGTCATACTAGGAGACTATTTACTGGGAAACATGTTACTTTGGAAATGATAAGGATGTCGATGACTTTTGTAGGTTGTACATACTTTTAGGTTTGTCAGAGTTTTTATTCCCTAATAAAGTAGGTATCGCACATTGTGGATTTTTACAGTTAATAGATAATATATCTTGTCTTGGAAAGTATAATTGGGGAAAAGCAGTGTATGAATATCTGGTTGGAAGTTTATGTGAAACATCGATTTATTTGAAGAAACGAAGAAATTGTTCACACTTCTGTGTACTAGGATGTGTGTTTTTGTTACAGGTAAATCTTAAATTATGATATATGTTTTGTTAGAATACTTTCAATATAGTCAGCTGATTTGATATTGTGCATTTTGTTTATATGAATTCAGGTATGGGTTATGGAGCATGTACTTTATAATACCAAATTATGTAATGAGATAAGTCGATTTCCGAGATTTTTACAATGGACCTCTGTTGTAATTGGGGAAAGCAAGATTGTAGTTGCGTTTAATCATAATAGGGTTAGTTCATTAAAAGTTTAGTAGAACTTGTTTGCAATATTACTTTACCATATGTCAAAATGTGATTTCAATTTGACATTGTTTGTTACTCATAGGTTATTCATGACTTGTGTGTCAGAAATGAAGAGTTTGCTCATGATATAGTGAAAGAAGCATTAGGAAATACCACTTATGCATCTGAAGAAGTGAAAATTTTTACTAATATGTTGTGTGGAATTATTGCTGAGAATCAAATGTTGATTGTCGTAACCAAACAACAGGAATCAACAATTGAAAAACTAGAGGAAGATGTAACACAATTACACGAATTGTTAGATGAAGCAAAACTATCAACAGAAGAAGTAAATCCTCCATCATGTGGGATGTACTTTTCTCCAGTATTTGAAGGTAGTAGTATTAAAGAGATGAAGCATCATGTTGAAGCAACAGAAGAATCAAAGTTGCATTGTGAAGGGTCAAATATGTATACGCGACTTAAAGGTCATCCAAGAATAAGGTATAAAAGTTTTATGGTTAAAACACCGTGGACGACTAATTCAAGGAAAAGAAAAAAGGCGACATAAGTGTTGTGTAGATGAATTATTTTGTTAGGTTTTGTTGTAATTGTAATTTATATTTGATGCAGACCTTTATGATGTAATTTTTGTGGCCTGTGATAATGTTATATTGTACATTACTTTTTATCTCATAGTGATAACATTGTATCTTCCTCCGATGTGTTGTTCGACTGATCATGTATGTTTATGTGCATTTAATGATATATAGTCAAGTGGTTAAACATATAATGTGGGCTATACAAATTTAGCATATAATTAACACAAAAATGTCATGTTCAGTTAAGCACATAAAGTTGAGGTGGTCAGCAGATATATGGTTAAGCCAATAGTAAAACATGACTAAATGTCTATCATAATTAACCACATAATCTGAAGGAGGTAAGCATATACATTGCATATAAACAAAACTGGTCATTGACAATTAATGATATATGTTGGAGTCAATAAAACTAGCATGTGCATACATGAAACTGCCATGTCTCTAAATATTTGAAGAAGTTGTCGCTCGAGCGAGAATTGCTTTGCTTTAGCGAGTGTTGACCGCAATCTAAATGTGCAACACAGTTAGTCACATAATATAACCTGGGTCACCACATATTTATATAACGTGTCACTTGAGCGAGACTTTAGTCGCTCCAGCGAAACAGAACCCAAGACTCAAGAACCCGCTTGAGCGGGTGTTGACTGTAGGCTATACGTCGAACAAAGTTAGCCGCATAATGTAACATGGGTGAGCACATGTTTGAATCATATATCGCTCGAGCGAGAATATTGTCGCTCAAGCGAAATACAACCCGAGAATCAAAATTTTTTGCAGGTCGCGTCGCTCGAGCGATGTAAATTTCGCTTGAGCGAATGTTGACCGTAGGCCAAACGTCGAACAAAGTTAGCCGCATAATGTAACATGGGTGACCACATTTTTTAATCAGATATCGCTCGAGCGAGATTATTGTCGCTCAAGCGAAGAATCAAAATTTTTTGCAGGTCGCATCGCTTGAGCGATGCAAATGTCGCTTGAGATAATGTTGACCATTGGCTAAACGTCGAACAAAGTTAGCCGCATAATGTAACATGGGTGACCACATGTTTTAATCAGATATCGCTCGAGCGAGAATATTGTCGCTCAAGCGAAATACAACCCGAGAATCAAAATTTTTTTGCAGGTCGCGTCGCTCGAGCGATGTAAATTTCGCTTGAGCGATTGTTGACCGTAGGCCAAACGTCGAACAAAGTTAGCCGCATAATGTAACATGGGTGACCACATGTCTGAATCAGATATCGCTCGAGTGATAATAGTGTCGCTCAAGCAAAATACAACCCGAGAATCCCAATTTTTTGCAGGTGGCGTCGCTCGAGCGATGTAAATTTCGCTTGAGCGAATGTTGAGCGTAGGCTAAACGGGTTAGGAGTAAACCGTTTATGTGACGACACTTTAGATAGCGATTAATAAAAACCGTTGTTAAAAATACATATAAGATAGCGGTTAGGAGTGAACCGCTCTCTAAAGTATGTTTTATTAGCGGTTGAGAAGTAACCGTTATCTAATGTCATACTTTTAAAGAGCGGTTATTTGGCCAATCGCTATCTTAAGTCATATTTTTTTTAAACACTACCCCCAACTTTCTTCAACCTCGCGCTCTTTCTGTCTGCGTTTTTTTGCCGCTTTCTGCGCTCTCATTCTCGCTCTTTGCGCTCTCATTCTCGTTGTCTGCGTCTTTCATTAAGCTAAAGGTACGTTCTTTGTATTTTCAATCTTTCTTATTCTCTTGCTCTCATTAAAGCATATTACATTGTAATATATTTGTGTGTTGCCAAGTTCGCGTTCCAGTCTCCATTCGCCATTGTTGTTGTAGGACGCGCTTATTGGGAGTTAGTGCATTATATATTTTTAGGGTTTAGGGTTTAGAGTTTGTCTACATTGTGATCTGAAATTGTGTTTTGAAATAGAATATAGGTTGGGTACGATATATAGATGGTTTAGTGTGACCGTGAAATATTTTGTATTAGAGATTATGTATGATGTTTTTGCTGATAGTTTATGACATGGAAAACTTTATTCTCAAATGGGATAGGGTCATACCCTGTGAGACAAAAATAGTAGATAACATATGGTGCAAAGCAAATCCTTGGTTCCATTAGTTTAACTCATGAAAAGCTCCATGCATGTCCTCATGAAAATAACTTATTAGTTGTATGTTATATTCTCAATAACGTGCACTAGAAAATTCATTTTATGTTATGTTTTGCTAATTGTCTTTTTTTTTTTTTTTGCAGAGATGACATCTTCAGATAACATGGAAGGGGTCGAGTCTCCTAAATCTGCTAAGTTGAAGAAGAATAATACTAGAGGATTGACCAAAATGAAATCGGTGAGCAAATCAAGGAAGTTAGGACAAAAACTACCGGTAAGAATAAGATGTGATTGTTCGATAATGTCTTTTCTTGTTGTTTTAATTTTCTAACAACTTGCTTCATAATGTATAGGTTGGATGGAACTCCAAGGGCCAGCCAGTAGATCCTAACAGATCTAAATTTGCACACTTCAAAGGATATGTGACTAGAAGTACAGTGCCGATTAGTTATTCTGATTGGAGTAATGTACCTAGCTTGCTCAAGGATAAAATATGGGAACAAGTTGAGGTAGCTAATCCTTTAAATCTCATTTATTTATATTTAATTACCCAATTTTGTAGTGCTAGTGTTATGATATTGTGCATGGTTTATTGTGTTTTTCTTGTAGCAAAGCTTTGAGGTACAATTGGAGCACAAAGGGTTTATTTTGTCTTTAGCTGGACGAGATT